GGGGGAGGGGGGAGAAAAGGGTCGGTCTCGACACCTTGACAACATTTTAAGCACAACACAACAGCCACCAATCAGTCTACTACTCCACAATGAATGAAATCAAAACATTCCAGGTGCTCACACAGGAGGTCACATTTCAAGCGATGGGAAGCAACTGCAGACAAAAAGAATGAACGAAATTTTTATTTAAAATTTAAAAAAGAAAACTCAATGGAACAACCAAATGTTCCTTCCAAAGAACATCAAATCACAGGGCAGGAGAACAGTACAAAAGAACATTGAAAAAGATCAAAAGAACAACCGTTCTAAAAGAGCAGAACAACAATTTGGGAAAAGAACCGAAGTGCAACTGTTGTGAAAGAACAAAAAAAAACCCCAAAACATTTGACCAAGAAGAAAAGAACAACTTTTGAAAAAGAATCGAAGAACAGCTTTCGTAAAAAGAACCCAATAACGACTTTTGAAAAAAAAAAAACCCAACCAACCCCAACAACAAACCCCCAGAAGAACAATTGTTGTGGAAAGAACCGAAAAACAGCTTTTGTAAAAAGAACCGAAAAACAGCTTTTGTAAAAAGAACCGAAGAACAACTTTTGTAAAAAGAATCGAAGAACAGCTTTTGTAAAAAGAACCCCAAAAAGCAACAACTTTTGCACAAAAAAACAACCTACAAAAAAACCCAGAAGAACAATTCTTGTGGAAAGAACCGAAAAACAACTTTTGTAAAAAGAACCGAAGAACAACTTTTGTGAAAAGAACAAAAGAACAACTTTTCAAAAGAAGAGCAAAGAACAACACTGATCAAATCAATCGACGGGTGTGCAGATTTGTACAGGGCGTAGGGGAAGCTACGTCACTCCAAACTTAGGAACGTCTATACGATCATAACCGAAGGGTATTTTCAACGAAAAAATACATTTAAAACGAAAATGTCGTTCGTTGTTGTCGTCGTCGTCGTCGTCGTCATCATCGTTCTCTCCATCGACGTTCTCATCTTCTTGTGTGTCTTCCTCCAGCACCAAATGGCCGTATCTCACCTTTCATCAATTTCATAATATTCACATACAACATTTTCGTTGTGATGTGTATCGCCGGCCAGCTGGTAAAATGAACTAAGCCCAAATTTTAAACGTTTAAAAAAAGTATCTTATTTCATTCATTTATTCATTTATTCCTTTATTCATTTATCTATGTATGATCTTTTCTTATCTTTGGTATCAATTGCACATGCACAAGAAATAATTGTCGTTATTCAAATTCTAAATGTTGAAACAGGAAGAAAAAACATAATGTCGGTACAATTTTCAAATTCAAATCTCCTGTAAAATGTTGCTTTCTGAGATTAGAACGTTATAACAGCTTGCTGGCGATACCATGAAGTTATACATTGCAGTAGTCGCAATACACTAGACAAAACCTTGTCACTATATACTAATAGATTAATTTATGAAGGGTTCAATGGAAAAATAATTGTGATTTTTATTCCGGATATACACTGTTCATATTGCCGTCTCTATTGCGCACGGCTAGCTCAGTTGGTACCATGCTGGACGTTATGAAGCGGAAGGCACGGGTTTGAATTCCAAACGGGGCGTTCTTGAACTTGGGTTGATTTTAAAAAACAAACTTTTCAAGGGTCTCAACTCATTTGGTTTTGTCGTATCGGAGATGGACGTTAAAATTTCAGAGGCCCATCTTAAATGACTAATACTTTTGAAAGGGGCGTGGAACCTATACACTTATCAACTTACTAACTCTTCTGAAAATGTCCAAAAGGAAATGAAGCTACTAAAGTTGAATATTTAGGGGCGAAATAAAAGGATGATAGATCTATTGTAACAATATGTATTTTTAATTTAGTAGAAATCAGAAGTGTGAATATTTTAAACTTTAAACTTACGATTAAAAAAATAATTCTAAAATGTTGCCTTATTATTTCTGAAAACTTATAAAATTAATGTCGTTTTACATATTTTTTCATTAAACCCTTCACAATGTTCCAAACTATCATCACCATCATCATCATCATCATCATCACCACCATCATCATCATCACCAAGCATTGCTGGAAGTAATAATACCTTCAGCACATTCTTCCTCCTCCTTCTCCTCCTCCTCTTCCTCCTCTTCCTCCCCTCCCATTCAATCTCCCTCTTCGTCCACCACTTCCATCTATCCTCCTTCTCCTCCCACCCCACTCTCTTCCCTTCCTCCTCCTCCTCCTCCTCCTCCTCCTCCTCCCCACATATCTACTACAATCTCTAATGTACTCACCACAGACTCCATGAGACTTGACCTTGATGAGCTTGTTGTGGATGCACGAGGCCCTCTCCAGCATGCACAGATTGGAGTAGGTGACCATGTCTGTGCCACACACCGGCGCGAAGATCTTGCTACACTTCCGCTCACACACACACATGGGGGTCATTGTCTCCTCGTCCACACGGCATGTGGCGCCAAACGGG